TCCAGGCTGCCTCCAATTCCCAGAAACATGTTAACAAGAGTGGCCGTTAGACCGTAGTTACCAATAAGATCGGCTGGAAATTTAGACCTTTAGTTACTTCCGCCTGGTTCCAAACAAATGAGAGTGGAGAAGTGCAGTGTGAACAAGCCCCAGCCGTTACATGCAGATCACCGGGGCACTCGATCACAACGCATGATGCACAAAAGAATAATAAACCTAGCATCCGTAAGTACTCTGCACGGATATTCCGAAATCCACATCAAATTCCATAAAAGAAAGGCGACTGTATGATACATACCAGTTGAACTTCATCTGTAACATCCTAGGTGTAGTGCTTAAGCTCGCTAGCCTGACGCGAGTTGCCCTTTATCCAAACTCAGTGCAGTATAGTGAGTCGAAGCTCCTCAGAGCTGCATTGAATTCAACCGATGAAGCGAAGCAGTCATACAACCTGCAGATCGTCACTGGATGCATTCTGTTCGTTCCGCATCTTCCCGCATATTCTGTGGAGCGAGTGTATGTAAGTGAATCAAGCTTTGGAAGGCTAGGAGAGGGAGTCCATAGGCAGGACCAGCTATGTTCGTAGTGGCTGGAGGTCATGTTGATCGCGAAACAACTACCCACGACTAGAAGCAGTAAAGTCACAGTCGAAAGAAAGTCTCCTTGGAACATGTCGTAATGCAATCAGCTCAGTAAGCTAGAAAACCTTCTAGCTTACTAAGCTGCGACTGACATGACCAAAGTATAGTGAAGGCAGTGCTTCCATGTAAACAGCAGGCGGCTATGACAGGGAAACGCTGGCGTGCGCTTCACGGTAGGTAGCCTTCTGAGGTCCGCCTGAAGCCCGCGCCCGCCAAGTGAACAAAAAAAGAGAAATTTGTTCGAACCGCGTATCGGCAACGGCTAGAATAATATTAAGCACTAGGCCGTCGAAACTGGTATCCACACCACATAAGTTACACACAACGGGTCTATCACGGGATCACTGGACCGGACCCAAATTAATTCATCAAGGCTCCATCAAAAAGCTAATACTTGCAGACACTTCGTCTGTCAGCGCAACACCACATCAAAAAGTACAAATCTTCTGACTCACTAATGAGATCACAGAAACCTTCCTGCATGTACACCAATACACAAGGCCTTCTCAACAGGCTCACTTAGCTTCGGCTACATCAGGTTGCAAATGCCTAGGACGACATTTCCATTACCGAAACCTGTTTGTACCAAGAGGGTGCTGATGCTGAACACAAGATACCACGAATGTCACTCATCCGGAGCGATCGTCACAGCAATAGGTTGCATTCCTCTGTACTATCGCAGTGACCCACAATGTGCGATAGTGGATGACCTGGAAACTCTTGTCACCGATCCACTCAGGCAACATATCCGAATAAGGCCAGGGACGGATGCTGAGTGGCTACAATTTACCGCTCCCAAGACCCACTCCGGAGAAAGAAACTCGCTCTGAGCACAGTACTACGCCCGAGGTACAGTTATATGCTAATTGCAGCTGATTTCGATATTCATGATCTGGACGTATAGGCATCCTCCAGTCAATAGTTTAGAGCTGACCTGCTTGAACCTGTCGCAGATATTCCCTTGTACAGCTGTGCCACATCTCACCAAATTCAGGGTGTCAAACAAACTGCCCGCACTGGACCTTGTGCTCACAAGTGAAAAGCTCATGGTCAGCAAACTATTGATGGAGAGTCCATTAAGTTTCAGTGGCCGTGTAATCATAATAGAACAGAACAACACTAGATGGAAATTGGGTATTGCCCACCCGAAAACACTGCACAGCCACAACGTGTAATCCAAACTTGACCCTCCAATTAGTCAGTTACCGTTGTGACAAAAAGCGTTGCCCATCGTGACCCGGTAGCCAAAGGGGTAGTAGTGTGGGCTGCTATTCCAATGGTAGTGGGTTCAAATCCTGCTGTCTCCACCTGATGAGATGAAATTACATCGAAACGCGTCGTGGCTGTGCAGTGTTTTCGGGTGGGCAATACCCAATTTCCACCTACTTTGAATACGGTCCCAGCGATCGCAGTGACTAAGGTTCATTTCAATGTGAATCACAGTCCATTAAATTGAGGTTGAGTGTCGCAATCCAATCGCACAACGTGTAATCCAAACTTGACCCTCCAATTAGAACAAAACTATGTTTGATATGCAAAATATCCAGCCGAACAACCGAAACTGATTCATGCAGTTACACGCTCAAACCTCCGAACAGAGCTCGCCACTGCATCTGGATAAGGTTCATTGAGGGATTCAGCGGCATGATCAAGACAGCAGCGGAAATCGAACTGTCGCGTTCCGCAAAGATGTTATCACATTTTCGGAATTAGGACTAATAAATGCTTTGTAATATGGGATGCAGCATGGTATGCCTACAAGGCCAACCTTGATCCCGAAACCTGGGGAATTTCCTGGCCCACCGCAAACATTTTAACTAATTGTACCTGGGGACAAAGTTACTCATCAACAGTGCTTTGCTAGAGTTTCAAGTCAACAACAAGCTAGTGTACAGACGCGTCAACTTCCTTCAAAAAGTGAAGCATGGCGCCCCCTTACCTATCACAACAAACGGTACTGTACAAAGTGGATGTTCTGTGGTCACAATACCATCCGACATAATGTGCGGTTTATCCGTGTTGCATACCGTCATCCACTTTACCGACTTCAGGATTTACCCCCTTCAGCTTCAATCAAGCAATTGGGCTAAAGAAGTTGAGTGCCGAGCTCGCTTATACTTCTCTGGGAGCAGACAACATTCGCCCGAAGACGCTAGATGTTAGGGGTACGACGGTAGCCAAGCCACTATCGCGGTTCTTCCATAAGTGCTTAGATGAACAACGGGTCCCGAGAATGTAGAAGCTAGGCATTATTGCCTCGACTGCCGTTTAGACCACGCAAACTTTTACCCGATGACTCACCTTTCTGTTCTACCGAAAGTGATGGAAGCGTTTATCGCCGAGACTTCAGTGGACTACCTGCAAATGTAATGTAAATGAACCGGAGCAACATGGTTTCAGTCAACGCCATTCATACACCGCCAATCTGTTGATGGCACAAGGCTGTTGGACTGAAGCGACCGATGGCGGGGCCTGAATCAACGTCAAATGCATGGACTTCTCCGAACAATTCAACCTCCCGGATCACAGGTTGCATAGCTGAGAAATCAGAAATTTTGTGCTTGGGTGGATGGGTAACTTCTATCATCAGCAAAGGATGCGGATGCACGTTCAAGCAGCGCTTTCCGATTTGGCTGGGGCGGAATGCCGTGTCTTACCGGGTTCAGTGATGGGACTGCACTTATTCCTAGTTTAACCATTGATCTTGCAAACATTACATCATTGCAGTTCTTATCTTCTGCCGATGAGGTAGCCATGAAGACCACGCTTTTCACCAACGTAACCTTGATGAGGAACGGCTGCAGCTTAATTCAGCTAAGTGCAAAGTGCTTCACATGCATCATTAGCCAGTGTGCGTATACAAACATGAAGATGACATTTTACATAAAACCATCCAGAAGACAGACCTCTGGTTACTGGTTTAGGACCATCTCGGTTGCGCCGAAGAGTCTGAAAGTGTGTCGAAAAGGAGCAGACACCATGCCGGCCTATGCGCAGTAAGTTTGATTAGTTTGCGTCCTCCGTCTTGCCACAAATGTTCTACGTACACGTGCGACCCAACGGGGGACAAGCCATCCAGGCGTAGCATCACTAGTAGTTGCACGATTTCGCTGAGCTCGAGATGCCGCAACGAAGACCGTCTAAACTACTAAGGACCTCTTCCATATTTCCTACCAACTTAGACTAAAATTCTTCGGAGTGTATGGCGATCTGCATCGGCGCCTTCGGGGGGATTCCGTAATAGTTTACGAAATCCTGTAGGACCCCATTCACATGTTCCACTTTCTATTGGAACTCAGTCGTAACACCAGCCTCAGAAGTCATCATCTAAAGTTGGTAATGTAGCAGAGCCAGCTGGAATGGCGTTGGAACTCTTTCTCCCTTTAAGTGTGCAAGACGTGGAACGCATTTTGTGGTTTACGTTTCACCATAAAACTAGTAGTTCTCAAGAGCCTTCATAACACAAGCAAAAGTGTATTCAAAACTTTCAACTAGGTGTGGTCATGAATTTCATCATGGAAACATTCCGGTGAATTCATCAGTACGCGATCAAACTTACTGACATACATTTCACTGCTCTGATGCTTTTTGTCTCATCCATCCTACATGATGTGCTAGGCGTCAGCGCATTGACTGGTTGCGTGCCATTGTTTCCAGTAGTAAACTAGAAGAATGTGCACTATTGGCGAATTCCCATTGGACAAGACAATCATTTTTTGCTTGTTCGGGTGCGTGGGTGGCTACATGATTCGGAAACTACTAAGAAGACCTCTCAATCGATTACCTCCAAAAGCCCTACGCACAATTAACGCGTGCATTATTATTTTCCAAACATGGTTTCTGGACTGCGGAGGATCGGTTAAAGCTGGTTTTATACTCAGAAGAAGATGATGGATGGTACATCAAGCACAGTGAATATGCATCCACCAGATTTGATCAGGTAATAAGCAGTTTTCTTGTGTGATTTGGCAGATTACGCACAAAGTTTCGTAAGGTGGAATTCTCAGTAAAACAGAGCCAAAGGTTAAAAGTGCAGTGACCAGTATACAACTGGAATGTGATGTGGTGATAGGTGTATGTGAGCGGTGCCCCTGAAGTTGATTCGTACAAGGAAAATACAGTGGGACCAGTCAGGTTCAATACTGATAGTATCATATCATCCCAGTATCAAGGACAGACGTTCCGGAGAAAGTATTCCAAGACCAACACACAGCGCAGGTTCAGCTTCACTCTTTCCGGTGCCCGTAATTCAAACAATTATCTGAGTTTACCTTCTTTATCAAGCAACAACACTACTTGAATGGAATAATGCTAGCTGGCCACTTCATTCCATTCACTCGGAAATTCCAGAAAACTTACTCCAAAGCAGTTTTTTCTCTGACGCCATACGACTTAGTGCATCCGCGTCGCCTTGGATTACAGAATGCCGTAATTCCCATATTTGTTTGCGATAAACATCCATGTGCTTCAGTAGATCCAACACGCTGCGGTGTTCGCGGGCTTCGGCCAGTTCTAGCGCAGTACGTCGCTTCTGGAATCCCATACTTGCTTCACATATGTAGTTGTAATCGTGTAAAATCAAGTCTTCTATAGCGTCAACCTGACCATAAAAGGCCAGCTGTGCAACCCTTCGATCAATGATAGCTTCAGGTGATAGGATGATGCCAGTGGTTGGATCAGTAATCTCCCGTAGTTCGTACGGATCAGGTGCCTGTAAAATACAAACGAACCGAAGGAACATAATTGGGGTTAGAAAACTCCTCACTCCAGCTGTCATTGGGAAACTGTAGCCAAGACATCCGTGGCTTTGTTTCAACTACCTGAAAATGAAATATACGTATTGCTTTGTTATCCTGAGCTATGTATCTCGAAGTGCCATTGGTACATAAGACAAAAGGGAGCCTTATGGGCATTTTGTTAACCGACTCATTTTTGACTCTAATTTTACCCACCCGCATTCATGGAGACAAATAAAAGTGACAATTTGGACAAAGGTTCATTTCTAACCAGCAATGGCCTCGTTTCGCCAGAATCCGGAGACATAGTCTGTTATGGGGCGTTGGGCTGACGACGCAGGTGTCATCCCGTGATGGATGACATCCCGTGTACAATCGAACGCTACAGCGTGTTTACATGAGAGTAAAGAAGTCGTTAAGCCCGGTTTAGTCCCCGTTTAATCTATTGCACACAAGCGTCCTTGAATACAAGATGATTATTGTAGACGATCTGTGGACAATCGTTACCATGTTAGCGGGGTGGAAACTGAATACCGATTCGAGTGAATACACATCTATAGTTGAAAAACTTTGATCTGCGAACAAGTATACCTTAGACCTTCATTGTGACTACTGTGGGTGCGTCGGAGTCACGTCCTACACTGATGACCCGCAGACGTTTGCCTTTATGCACCACGAGGACGAAGCTATCGAAACTTGTCACCTCTTGGTGTCGACTGGTATCCCGCTTTGGACCATGCTTACAGTTCTAGGTGTTGCGGATTATTGGTAAACAGCTTCGGCGCTCCGTAGTATGTCTCGGTTACCACAAACCGTTAGACGCATTTTAGCCATAAGAAGGCTAACAACTTGGACTTACATTCTCCTCTAAGGTGCGGAAAATCGTCTGCGGTGGTTGTTCTCCCATGTGTGCACACAAGTGCAGTGGTGTGTTTGTGGCTATGTCCCGAGCTGTGCGACCCCAGCAGTCCCGCAGTTCCAGCTTGATTCCACGATTTAGAAGAGTTAGAATGATCAGACTTATCCAGCTTCGCCCGTTATGATCCTCTGGTCTCAAATGTTGAAGCATATTCACCGCATGATGCAGCATGCTGGCCCCGTTAGCATCGCGCAGATTAGTTGATGCCAATTTCGAAACTACCAAGGTGGTCTGCAAACTGACAGAAGCACGAAACGCCCAAAACGCTACCGGTGTGGGAAGTTCATCTGCCACTGGGAGAAGCAAACAGGGAACGAGCAACATTTGTTAGTTAAGTTGGGTTCGACTTCAACGGGTGGTACTGACCAGTTAGACGTGTCATGGAAACAAACATGGCTTTCTCACCAAACGTAGACTTTCAGTTGAGTGCTGATATGGTGGAAAAGTGCTCCGCTATGAGTCGCACAAACTTGCGACAAGAGGCGAAGCGTGGTATTAACGTCCCATCATTCACATTGCCATAAAATACATGGTAATCGAAACGACGAAATGGTCAATGGCTGGTTCCATTTAAACACAGAAACTTAAGCGACTAATCGAAAAGATTTATGAATAGTAGCTCATTTAATCGACACGCACCAATTAAATTATCCCGAACGAGTCACATCGAGTGTAGATGTTAAAAATTGATGCTGAAGATCTTTCGATATACACATAAGGATTTTTCGGTGTGCCTCATAAACGATGTTGTCAAACGCACATTATTCGGAGGAGCGTATATGAACGGCAGTCAAAGCTCCGAGCAAAATCGAACGGAGTTCCGCAAAGCGGTGTTCTTTGTCTCTCACTGTTCCCCGTCTGGGTCAACAGTCTGCTCAATAACCTTCAATACTGCGATTCATCTTTTGCTGAAGATATGAAGACCTTCCAGGTCTTCAAGCCTAGAAGCCTTCGGACAGTTATGGAAACCATTCTATCGAACCTACATTTTCTTGAATTCCGGCCTAATGAATAGTTAACCAAATTTTCCGCGCACAACTCGCGCATTCTCTAAGTAAGGAGCGAAATATCATCAGATTGCGTACCTATTAAAAGAGGGCCACTCCCTAGCATTAATTTCATCCGTGACCTCGGATAAGTTGCAGCGAACTGTTCAGCTTCACAGCTCACATCCAACAACAGTTGTCGGTATATTCACCATGCAAGCTAACCTTTGGATTTTGAAATATTGCTCTGGATCATTCGCTTAAATTTACCATGCTATCTGTTTGTCACAACCCCCTTTTGTCTTCCTATTCTATGCTTCCCATAGTTTTATTCTAACCTTTTCAAGCACAGTTGCTTGCCCCCGTTGTTAAACTTGCCTCATGGGTCACACCTGTTCAGTTACACCTTCTCACACATAGACTCCTTGAAGCAAGGCATGGTTTATGCGCTGTACAGCGAACTAGTCAGGTAGGGTAGTTATATGACCCAATTTAACAGCCCGTGGGATTCCGCTCGTTGGCTCTGGTTTTATAATCTGGCCGTACAGTACTAAGTACGGTGATTTTCACTATATTTGTGAACCTAGTAAAAACTTCGTTGTGTCAGTACCGAGAAGATATTGCGGAGATATGTCCGTATTGCATCTTGATGTCTACAAGAATAGTACCACGGTTAACTTTCGACTTCGTTTCGCAGAGGCCAGGGAGTTTCATGAGTAGTTCAAGTCCCCATCGAATTTATCGCTTAGTCTAAATCCATTTACGCAATAGCTGTTTGCTATCACTGGCACGTTTGCAAGCGGTCTTACACTAAAAGCCTCATGAATAAAGACCCTATTTTCCCGTAATTCCGCGAAAACACAGACAAAGAACGGAATTTCTAAGTTTTGCGGAAAAAGAAAAATTGAGCGGAATCGTAGAAAAAATGAGAAATTTATTAAAGAAAGCTACTTTGAATTCGCTTTTTTCTGTAGTCAATATAATCAACAGGTTTTAACTTTTGCAGCTGTCATCGCAGTAAATTAAGAAGCATTTAGGAGGTAAAACAGCCTTGGACAGTGTGGAGCAGTTTCCTGGCGAATACTAGGCCGATAAAGCGGATAAGAAATTACTATTTTGTTTTTCGGGTGAAGTGACTGTGGATCCCTCTCGAAAATTAACCCTGGTTGACCATATTCGCAAACAGAAGCATCGTCAAAAGAAGCTCACATAGAGGAGAAGCAGCTGAACTTGTTGTCAAGGGGCAACCAGCTCCGAAGAAAGCTCGACATGCAAGCAGCAACAGTTACATCATCATTGCAAATGCTGCTCAGGGAGCCTGTGACACAGTGGGATCTGACTTTCTACTTGCTATCATATCGGTAAATTTTCCTATACAGAAGGCAAACAAGCCCTAACTTAAGGGAATTTCTTCACATGCACTTACGATCTAATGCGCTACATTTGCAAATTCACCAGCTATACGGGAAACAGTAGTAGATATTGAAAGAAATGTTTCATGATACCTTTGCCGGTGTCATAACAGATGGAACAACTGATGATCGCGACAAGACGGAATTGCATATCCTGTTATGCCACCTTTGAAGTTCAGCAAAGGACTGTCTGCGAGCACCTCTCATCGACACTGTCAACTTGGAGGATGTCAAGTCTGCGAGAGTTAGAAGGGTCATTTTGCGCAGGTTGACAATGATGGGTATCGATTTCAGTTGTGTGACGGTTTGGATGTCCAGTGGCGCTATATATCTGACATCAAGCTACCCAGATATCATTAAGCTTGTTTGTGAGAATACAGTTCACATTAGATGTCCTGCCCATCTCATCAGTTTGATTGGATAGACCCATCGTAAATTTTCTCCGGAAGTCCACGGATTCATTGCAAAAACGAGAAGTGCTTTTAGTCTTTCAGGAAGAAGAGGGGTGTCTAAATTGATTATCTGACTCGGGAAGGTGTGGATAACCCAACCGGCCCAAGTGTACCAGTCATCACCCACTGGAACTCCTGGCTGGCAGCTGTTGCGTATCACAGCAAATATTGCCGTCATTACCCAGCCATGTTGCAAGCTGTACAACATGAATTTGTACACTCAGCTGGTATTATGAACTAGTGAATCTTCTAACCAACGAAACAATACAGAAGGCTTTAGAGTGACAACTGAGTTGCATTGCGACTTTTGGAAACAACAGCATACGTCACTTAAAATCTGCCGAATCACAGTCTCCGGTAGCCCATAAGATTTACTACGACCTCTCCGTTCTATTCATATCGGTGGAACCTGCCGCTGAGGGAAACTTGCTGCAGCATTCGCAGGCAGAGGAAGTGGACTTTGATGCGTCTAGCAAAAATCCAAAATGACGTGCAACTCTTCTTTTCCCAAGCTAACAAGAAGCCCAGGAGTTGCTAACGGCAGAGACTAGCTGGCAGTTTTTGTAAGTCATTGGATTGTTCGACCCCAAACAGCTCATCACTTTGCGCAGTGATCCATGCAGCCATGCCGACGTTGGCACCGCAGCTCTGGCAGCCGAATGGCTAATTTATCGAAAAGTGGTGGAAAATCGTGTGGAAAAAATTTTGAATATACGCTAGCATACTGGTGCGTGATGCGTGAAACAACTCTAAAACTTGAAAAGCACGGAAAGAAGACGAAGGCTGGTAGATGCATGCATTTCGTATTGTCTCCTCAGTACCTTTAACAATAACCGATAAGCATAGATATAGCCAACAGTGGGTGCAACCAGATAAACTTAAGGTGCAAAACGAATGACGGAAGTTCACACCTACGTCCAAGGCAGCTTTAGGCTGACAAATAGTTGTTTCTGAACCCACAAGGCTGTAATCCGGCTAATTGTGACAGCCTCAGCAAACCGAAGGAAGCGGGGATTAGTGTGACGTAACACAACTTTAAACGCTGAGCCCAGCTCTAATTGGTGACCCGAGTCTAATAGGTGTTTGCCTATCGAGGAAGCCGGCGGTCTGCGCGAACATGGAATCTGACGAGGGTAGGCAATCTGGGCAACAACTCTACAACTGGCAGGCATCGCCGGCCGTTATCTATGCATTCCCAAGAATTCCGTAGACGCTGAACGGAAATATAGTGCCTACAAAAATGTGTATGACAAGCGTCACAATCTTTTAGATAATAGCACGAAGCACTTTGCTGTGCTTTATTTTAAGTCCCCTGTTTTGAATCATATCAAACATATATATAGCGGATGAAGGTGTCAGGATTTGTTTATTGTAGTCTACGCGGGGAAACCACGGAAGTTTATCACTGCATAAATTTCGCGGAACTTTCCATTTTGATCGGGCAAATGATCTTTTACCACCGCAGAAAACAAATGTCTTTACTTATGAGTGACTCCTAGTTAGCACCACACCACGCTGAATTTCAGCCACTGCGCGATGGTCGCTTTGACTGCCAAGTTTTAAGATAGACCAAGTGTATTTCGCAAGCTGCTACACAAAATAAGCTTCTGCTCGAGTGGTGAGCCTAAGTCTAGGGAACATAACAGCAACGTAAAAAGCTATCTTTCCGCAGCGGAAACATACAGTACAAATACGTGTAACCACCTGATTGCGTTACTCTATGCTATGGAGTTGACTACCACACTTAGTAACAGGAACCATATCCCATGAGCAGTTTAAACTTAAATATAGCCATTTTCCCGCGGCATCTAATGAGACAAAACTAATATACTAGCTGAACGTTTGTGGTTCTGTGTTTCCAAAATGCTGGGATATTAAAAAAGTGAACACAGTACGCTTGTTGTGTACTAGGAGCTAACACCCACCGGGTTACTCCCTCACGTTTGAAACTGTCCGAGTACTTGTACAGAACACTGTGGCTTCCAGGAGCTAAACCCGAATTCCCTTAATGATCCATTCTCTTGTATATGTGAAAATGTGTTACCTGTTCCTACTAACGCTTTGATTCAGCAAATATAATCTTACTTCCACTTGTTTAAATAGTCCGATCCCTCATATACAGCGCTAGCGCATCGGTAGCTTAAATTGAAGGCTGTTAGCCAGCTCCCTGTGAAGGTACTATCAGAGCATAGCGAGCAGATGAACCAACCGAGTGAACCAAAGAGCCAATGGGAGGCGGACGTAACGGATTCGATTACTGGGCTCGGATTGGGCGATATTCGTGTGAATGATTCACCGTTTGTTTAACTGAAGCAAAGGAGGAATCTCATCGACTCAGGAGGGTCGTTAGTTATGGACTTGAACCTGCAATTTATCTCGAAGATTTTGGCTTGCTAAACAAGCTGTACTTTTCGCTTAGCTGTGGTTGCCGAATAAACACTTG